TACATACATACATACATACATACATACATACACATATACATACATACATACACACATACATACATATATACATACATACATACATACATTCATACACACATACATACATACATACATACATACATTGGGCTGGGAGGAGCGTTATGGTCGAGGATTGCATTCGAATCAGTGACTCAGGCCAGCGCATCAGTGGCCTTCCAACTGCTCTTTTCCCATATCGTAGATACCAGTTGATTGTAGGTTTCCTCCGTCTGTTGCCTGTCATCTTTTTCTCATGATCAAACCAGCTCTTTTTCTAACATGGATTTCTTGCGTTATGTTCCACTCACCAAAACTTAACGACGACGTTTGTCATGTCTTTGACATACTGTTGGAACGAGGCACAGATCCTGATGAGGATTATTGTTTTTTATAGCAAGTAACAGCCGGAGACATGAAGGCCCGTTGCTATAAGATCTACGACGATTAGTTTGGTGATAGGTTTTGAAGCATACTTCAAGCATACTTCAAAGCCTATCACCAAACTAATCGTCGTAGATCTTATAAGCTGTTTGGTTGAAATGTACCGCATGTGACGTGTGTAATTTCGGTTTCTTTACGTTTTTATCATTCAGATTCATAAGCGAGGAGCGTTGAAAGTGGCTTTGTCGGGACGAAAGCCGGACACGATTTGTTCGATACTTTCGTTCCTGACGAAATATTTTGTCAAATTCGAGTATTTACGTATTTTGCACAAGACTGTCATTTTCATGTGTGGTTCGTTAATCTTTCTCATTTGATTTTGCGAATCAAACATTCTCAGTACAGAGTTAATGAAGGCAGATGGAGAAAAAGAGGTGAAGGATGAATGAGATATTATTTTAGCATTTTGTAATACGAGTTTTTGTTTCAACTCTAGAGGAATTGAAAAAGTAAGATCTGTTAGTTGATAGGATGTGTTGCTCGCATTGCCAACAATTCCGCTTATCAGCAGCTAGTGCCTTTGACCAAGTGAACAACCGCTTTTTAGATTTATATGGATATGATGAAGCGGATCCACAAGTTGTAACGAGTTTTGAAAAGCTTCAGCAAGCCATACATCGTGAAATTGACATGCGCAAGAAGATAGCTGAAGTATGTGGACTGCTTTTAAAATCAAAAGTCAAAACTGCTTCCTTTTTTTAAGAAGAGAAAGTAGTCACATGAAATTCAGGCAACATTTTGCCGCTCTGCAGTAGAACTACTATTTTTCGCTTCTTTTGAAAGTCTTTTGGCAGGAAACGGAAAGTTACTTTTCGCCTGGCAACTTAGCCGTGTTGTCTACTGTACTGACTTAGTGAGGATGTAATTGTTCTTTGGAAAAGATGGGAGTTTCCCTCTATGGTTCTATGGTTTTACTGATAGCAGACATTAGAAATCTTGATACGGATTCACTGCTTATAAAAGATGAGGCGTTCCAGAGTAGCTCGAGTAGTAGCACTCGTATAGACGTAATCAATTTCACCGACATAAGCTTCTGGATATGGCACGGCTTTCCGAGAATTTGTTGAGAAGTGAACTAGGCTACCGTATGCGAGCCTCTTTGTATTAGTATAACAGTTAAGGCAGTGTTGGAAAGGAAATAAGCTGGAGATGGATTTAAAGAAGATTTTGGTCGGTGCTGATGATGTTACTGGAATGCCCCCGCATGCTGGCGCATACAGCTGTGCCAGGCCCTTCGATCTTAACTGGTAACACTGTATTAAGTTGTCACTAATGCTAATATTTTAGCGTATTAATTGACACCACTTTTTTCCTTAGAAATTTTAGTTACATGCTGTGTAATGAGTTGAATTCCAGTTGCGTGGGATGATGGATATGATGACGCAGGTATACACGATCGTTGCTAATGACCCTGTGGAGGAAGGGGAAGAGGACAATGAAACGATTTTTGGGAATGTTGTCGTTACACCAATACCGTTCACGATTGATCGGAATGGACGTGATGAAGCACGTCGCATCTAAACGATTTCCATTAGTGCCGTGGTTTAGAACGCAATCAGATCGCAGTGTCCTGCCAGTATCTTTGGAACAAATTGTTCGAATAGTCAAAATAATTGGCCAACGCACGGGCTGCCCGTGAGAAGATGCGTTTTTTTGCATGGTTCCCCGCAGTTTTTGTCGCTGCCGGCACCAGTTTTTCCTGCAAATGCTTCTAGCTTAACAAATTAAGACTGGCCGCCAGAACTGTCAGGAAATACCGCCTTAAAATTTCAGCTTTCTAACTTTCCTGACTCCTGAGTTAGCAACTTACTGGAAAAAACTTACCCGATGTCTGGGTTTGAGCTCGTTGAGACTTACGTGGGCGCGAAGCATCTTAAAACTACAGTCTTCTAGCTTTTCAGGTTCTCGAGTTAGCATCTTACCCAAGAACTTTGGTGAGCCCGTACTTGGGTGCTACGCATACCCGAGGGCTGGGTTTGAGCTGAATGAGATATAGGTGGACGGGGGATATCCTCTTAAAATTACAGTCCTTAGCCTTTCAGATACTTGAGTTATCAACTTACCCGAAAAAAAAACTTTGGTGGGCCCGAACGTGGGTACCACGCGTACCCGGAGTCTGGGTTTGAGCTCAGTGAGGTTTGGGTAAACGAGGAATATCCTCTTAAAATTACAGTGCTTTAGCTTTTCGAATTCCTGAGTTGTCAACTTACCCGAAAAAAAATTTCGCGGGCCCGTACATGGGTGCTACGTTTACCCGAGGGCTGGGTTTGAGTACATTAATATACACGTGGACAGGGAACATTCCTTTAAGATTTCAGCTTTCTAGCTTTTCAGATCCCCGAGTTATCAATCTGTCCGAAAATTTCACGAGTCCGTACGTGGGTACCACGCTTAGCGGAGGCTGGATTTGAGCTCATTAATAACTACTTGGATAGGGAACATCTCCTTAAAGTTTCAGCCCTCAATTGTCTCTGGTTTCCGAGTTATCAACTTACCGGAAAAAGGTTTCACGGGCCCGTACGTAGGTACCACGCGAGTAATGGCGCCTATTTTGGGGATTGGGTCTCGTACGCGCATGTAAATTAAGTTTCCAAAATTTCAGCCCTGTAGCTTTTGTAGGTCTTGAGATGAAAAGCCATGACAGGCGCGCACACAGGCAAACAGACAACCCACGTCAGTATGCGTTTTCTGCATTGCATAACTGCAAAAAACGCATAAAAATGTCCATTGAGTTTATTGAAGCCAAAAAATATTTTTGGGCTTTTTAAAATGGGATTTAAAAAATCACGTTAGATAAGAAAACTTGGTTTTAATCCTCTTTTTCCTTAAATTTTTCACATTTTTCCTCAAATTTTTATACAAATTTGTAACGATTTCTTTTTTTTTCCTTTTTTTTTGTCTTCTATTGAATAACCGGAAACGTTGCATGCGGAAATTTACGTTTCCACTAAAGTCAGAATTCAGTGTTTTTCTCTGTGATGGGTGAAAGCATCTGTAAGTGGCCCAAGCACTGTTTTAAGTAATTTCTTTTATTAGTCTGTTTTTATTTAATCTCTCACTGAGTGATTCAAAACACCCTCATATTCAGAGATTTACGAAATCGGTGCTTTCGAGAAGTTACAGTATATGCTTCTTTTAAGGCATGAAAAAATTCGAATGGGCTATTCTGAGGGTTTGTTTAAAAGGAAAAAGTTTTTTAAAATTTGTCGATCATAAATTTTTTAATACAATATACTGAAATACAAGAAGCATAGTGACCAAAATTATGCAGAATGGTTTTTGATTACCGGAAGCACCATTGCAGTAGTCCGTTTGACAGATGCATTCAACTCCTGTGCCACCTTTCCATAATACATTTTTATCGCAGTACTCCAGCAATGGTTCGCTTGTTTGTTGGCACATTTTTTGGACACGTACAATTCCTAAAATTTCTTCTCGTTTGTTTGTTTTGATGGGATGGCGTTGTTTTTGTTTGTTCCCATCCCTCAAAACATTCAGAAACATGCATACTCATTTAAATATTTGTTCAGCTGTAATCCACAACATGATTTTCCAACTACACAGATGGCAGTTTTCCCATTTGCTTTATCCAGTACTGTATCGCCTGGTAATCAGCGTGCTGGCATTCTTGGTGTTTCTTGCATTTCCTGAAGGGATTATCAGCTCAACGATTCTGTTGATGGAAGCATCCGGCAAGATTTCAGCCATTTCGAGATATTCCCAGTGTCTGTTAGACATTACCTTATACTGGCACTCCTAGAGTGCGATCGCACCTCACTACCTAGAAGTAGAAAGTGATATCCGTCATGAGAGAGGGAGGTGGTTTAAATGTTTGCCAGCTGTAATAGTCCATTATTGAAGTTATTTGATGCCTCAAAATTACTGGTGGACACTAAATTTAACACTAGATTGAAAGTGCCCATCAGTAAGAGGGCGGAGGGTCGGGGAGAGGGGGGGGGGG